CCAGCTAACATCACAGAACCGTGGTATTCTGATGCTGGAGTCCTACAATAGATTCCTAACCAGCTGAATAGACATCAGTGTGCTCTTGGTCTCATCACATTTAGAATAGTTACTTTAATATCTGTTCTGATCTCTGCAGTGACATCCACCATAGCCTTAGCTAAAAGCATCAAAATGCTCATTTTTTTGAGCCATGATTTGTCTCAGAATACTTCCAAAGCCCGACAGAATCAGGTAGATATTGATGGCAAGATAGAAACTAAACTAAATGCCCTGGAAACCACAGTCACAAATACAGGAAATGAGCTTGCTGCTCTTAGACAATGGCTTTACTGCCATGTTAGATACAAATTTGTGTTACAGAAGCRAAATATAATGCTTCTCAATGGGATTGGGAGAAAGTTAAAAATTACCTAATGAGCATTTGGCAGAGAGTCTAGACCTAATAGAGTTACACCATCACATCCAAGATATTCAGGAAAGTAGGAATGAACTTGTGGATCCTTCCTGGCTTTCTAAATAAATACTTAATGATTTAAATGGTTTTAATCCTTGGAATATGTTAAAACATACAATATGGACATTTTTAGAATTACGTGTTTGCTACTAATACTCTTTTGTGTTATAACAACAGGATGCCACATCTTCTGAAAAGAAATCCAACAGCTCCAAATAATAGCTCATTACTTGGGAGCTATTTGATTTTGGGAGCAGAGATTTGAATCATGGTCTGACTGTCCTACAGCAGGAGCTGCAAACCTGCACTGGGAAATTCCTGTGCAAAAGTGCAGATCAAGATTGCTATAAGAACACCCTTCTTAAAGGAGGTTCTGTGCTAGGCACAGGTCTCTCAGTCTTGACCCTGAGTTCAGACACCAGCTGCCAGGGGTAGAGAATTATGAGCACAAGTTAAGGATTATTATTTGCTGCATCTTCAACCTTCAATCCTCCATGCTTTGAAGAAACTTTCTCACAGAAAAGCCTTTTGATGGTAAAACCTATGTAATAAACATGCTGAACTAGTTTGGGGTCACTGTTCCTCCAAAAGGGTAATGTGCCACCTAGCCCCAGGTTTTCTCTATGTCTTTGTTTCTCTTTTCTAAATCCCCCATAGCTCCTCACTGATTTCTGAAATAACAGCCAGGGCAGACAGATCAAAGTAGTTAAATTGCTGAAGCCAGCTTCAAACTTTTGATCTTCCTGCCTCAGCCTCCCAAGCCACTGGGATTCATGAGTGAGCTACCACACTCAGCCTACTAGGCATTGTTCCTAAAATGGTCTTTTTGTGTGTGTGTGGGAAAGAGYAACAGGGATTGAACTCAGGGCACTTGACCGCTCAGGGCACTCGATCACTGAGCCACATCCCCAGCCCAATTTTGTATTTTATTTAGACACAGGGTCTGAGTTGCTTAGCGCTTTGCTTTTTCTGAGGCTGGCTTTGAAATTGCGATCCTCCTGCCTCAGCCTCCCAAGCCACTGGGATTCATGAGTGAGCTACCACACTCAGCCTACTAGGCATTGTTCCTAAAATGGTCTTTTTGTGTGTGTGTGGGAAAGAGYAACAGGGATTGAACTCAGGGCACTTGACCGCTCAGGGTACTCGATCACTGAGCCACATCCCCAGCCCAATTTTGTATTTTATTTAGACACAGGGTCTGAGTTGCTTAGCGCTTTGCTTTTTCTGAGGCTGGCTTTGAAATTGCGATCCTCCTATCTCATCTTCTCAAGCCGCTGGAATTACAGATGCGTACCACCGAGCCCAGCTAAAAATGGTCTTTCACAAGGCAATGTGAGAAAAGGCAGAATGCAAGACTGTATCTAGGTTAATGCATTCATCAAATATTTACTGAGCACTTACTGTATGCCCAACCCTGCTCTAGATTCTGGGGATGTATTAATAAAAAAGAAAACAATCCCTTTGCTTATGGAGAGAGAAAAAAGAAAGAAATTAGATTTTAGATGGTGATTAATACTGTTGAGAAAATAAACCAAAGAAGGAGATAGCATTGSAGGGATATATGTGATTTAAAGAACTTGGAGAAGGAAGACCTCACTGGAAAGGGACATCTGAAGAAAGATCTCGGAAGAAGAGGTATAGCAGGCAAATTGATGGTAGGAAGTGTTTCAGGCAGAAGACATGAAGGACTTGAGTTGGGTTCGTGCCTACCTGTGATTAAAATGATGGAAATATTATTACAAGGATAAGGACAAAAGGGAGCAGGAAAGACCAAAACAGTTCATTTGTTAGGATTATGGGATTCAGGGTAATCTTTTTTTTCTTGGCACTTTTGGATTTGAATTATGCAATTAAGGTTATTTCACTGCATTTGTGCAGTTTGGGAAAATGGGACATGTCAACGAGGGCACAATGAAGGTTTGTGAGAACCCAGAGTGCTGCCCTTGCATGGCAATACTCTTCTCTCCTCTGAACTGCCTGCTCAGAAATAAGAACCCCCTTCATGGCTGGGAGTGTAGTCTACTGGTAGAGCACTTGTCTRGGATGCATAGGACCCTGCATTCTGGTTCCATTCTTATCACAGAAAAAAAAAAATCTTCATGGAGGGACCCATTTCACTAGGAACACATTTCATATTACACCATGCCACTATAACCACTTAGTGGCTAAGATGAGAACCTTTGAAATCAAATGAAACTAGGTTCAACTATCAATGTACAACACATCAAACTATATGATTTAGGGAAAATGACGGTCTTTGATCCTTGTTAATAATAATAAAACCTACCTTGTTTAATTGCTTAACCAAGTACCTGGCATATAATGAAAGCCTAATAAATGATAGTTATTGACTTTTTCTTTTTTTTCCCCTAGTACTGGGATTAAACCCAGGGCCTCACACATGGTAGGCAAGTGCTCTACTACTGAGCTATATCCTCAACCCCTTTTAATTTTATTTTGAGACAGGGTCTCACTAAATTGCCCAGGATGGTTTTGAACTTAGGATCCTTCCACTTTTAGCTTCCCTGGTAGGTGGGATTAGAGGTGTGCACACTGCACTCAGCTTGCTTCTTTTTATTAAAAAAGGAAACAGTATATCATGGCAYTTATGAGCAGAGGCTTTGGAGTCATATAGAATTATGTTCAAAAGCCAAGCACCATCATATTCAAGCTGAATGAACTTGGACAAATGGCTTAGCCTTTGAGCCTCAGTTTCCTCATCTGTAAAATGGGGATAATAAACGTATACTAAAGTGTTGTTGTGAAGATTAAACGAGACATTGCCTAACACTAAAAAAACAATCACTACACGGTGGTRTTGCCATTGTCGTTACTTCCCCCAGGCCTACTTAGGGTCTGCTAGAATTTATGGGTCAAGGTTGGGAAAACTTACTGCTGCAGATGACCTCTGTCCCAGAGCAGGTATATGAGTAAGTGTTGGTGTAGGGGTTGTCCACGAGGAATTTACAGCTGGGCAACTTTTTGGCCTGGTTGTAGCAGGCGTCGTGTTTCTGGCAGCACCTGCAGAGGGGAATGAAGAGCTGAGGAGCAGGGACCCCCACACTAGGTCAACCCTCACCTAGGCACAGGAGGGGTATCCCCAGGAGGAACTGTCCCATGCCTTGAAAAACTGTGAGCTCTCTTGCCATAGATTTGTTTAAAATGATTTTATCATGGTTGTAGGAATGCGGTAAAATTGCACGTCCTGATGATGCTGTGACACTGTTTTTTTTTTTTTTTTTAAACCAAAGGTTGATGCCTGGGTTGTGTGGTTCTGATGGTTTGTTTTGCCATTTTCTGCCACTAGAGGGGAGCATCGCATCGCCCATGATTCTGCATCAGCTATTTGGCTTTTTTTTTTTTTTTTTTTTTTTTTTTTTGGCACCTTTCTTTTTTTTATCTTGAGACAGGGTCTCGCTAAATTGCTCAGGGCCCTCGCCAAATTTTTGAGGCTGGCTTTTAACTTGCGATYCTCCTGCCTCAGCCTCCCGAGCTGCTGGGGTTACAGGTGTGCGCCACCACATCTGGCTTCTGCTTTCCATTTCTAACAGGGAACACTGAATGCAGGGCACTCTTGGCCTGTGTTTCTTATGACAAAAGGTGGAAACATGTTATCCTTAGCTAACATGCACGTCCCCTTTCTGTGCTTCTCGAGATCCTTGGCTTGTGCCCTTTCCCCATCCCAACAAGGACTCTTCAAGTCTCCCTCTAGATGGATCACTCACCTGTCCAATTCATCCACAGGGGTGCCTGAGCCACCCAAGCCACAAAAGCAGCCATAGTTGTTGTAGTCCTTATAGGGGTCACTCCCGGGGATCGTGCACTTGATCACATTGCGGAACTGCCACACCGCCCGACGGTTGATGGTGTGCGCAGTAACGCTCCCTGCAAGAAAACGCAACCRAGTTCAGGTTGGTCTGGCACCCCCAGAGGTCCACTGTCTGCCTGCTCTCAGTCTCCTTGACTCCTGGCAGCTTGACTCCTGAGAAGAGCACTGGAAGCCTGGCGCGTGATGGAGGCCCCCAGCAGCTCCGGAGGCTGAGGCATGAGGATCCCAAGTTCAAAGCCAACCTCAGCAACAGCAAGGCTCTAAGCAACTCAGTGAGACCCTGTCTCTAAATAAAATACAAAATAGGGCTGGGGATGGGGCTCAGTGGTTGAGTGCCCCTGAGTTCAATCCTGGGTACCTGCCCCCACCCCCCCCAAAAAAAAAAAAAGTGCCAGAAACTTAAAGTGAATTTTTTTCTTTCTTTCTTTTTTTTTTTTGTGTGTGTGTGTGTGTGTGTGTGTGTGTGTTAGTACTGGGGATTGAACCCAGAGGCGCTTAACACTTAATCACTGAGCCACATCCCCAGCACTATTTTAAAATATTTTTTTTAGTTGTAGATGGACACAATATCTTTATTTTTATGTGGTGCTGAGGATGAACCCAGTGCCTCACACATGTGAGGCAGGTGTTCTACTACTGAGCTACAGCCCCAGCCCTCCCCAGCATTTTTTTTAATAAAAAAAATTAAAAACATCTTTTTATTGAAATCCACATAACATAAAATTAACCATTTAAAAATATTTTTAGTTGTTGATAGACTTTTATTTATTTATTTATTTTTTWAATTTATACACAGTGCTGAGAATCTAACCCAATGCCTCTCACATATGTCGGGCAAATGCGCTACCACTGAGCCCTAGCCCCAGTCCCAAAATGACCATTTTAATCACTTAAAATGTACAATACCAGATTGATTTTTTTTTTTTCTGTTGGTTGGGGATTGCACCCAGAGCCTCACACTTGCTAAACAAGCACTCTACTGAACTATTTTTTTTTTTTTTTTTGAGACAGGATATCACTAAATTGCCCAGATTAGCCTTGAACTTTCAATCCTCCTGCTTCAGCCTCCCAAATCGCTGGGATTAGAGGTATGTATCACCATGCCTGGCCAGGGTCCTATTTAATCAGCCATCAATATTTTCTTACTGTCCATGATTTGCCACTCTTTTTCTCAATTTTTCTGGGAGGCACACTGGGACCACTCACTGTGCTTAAACTCCAGGGCCAAGGATAGAATGGCAGTTGGCTGCTCTTCTCTGTGAGTGGCTCTGTGGTGGCAATTAACAGGTGCAGGAGGAGCAGAGGCCTAGAGCCTGTTCAGGCAGGAGGGACCCAACTGCCCTGTTCCCCTGCTTTTTCTCTCGCTTCCCTCCCTCTCCCTTTGATCTAGCCGGCCCTACTCTGCAGAAGCCGATGGCTTGGTGCGTGCATGTGTATGTTTATGTATGCACGCATGCGCGCCTGGACTGGGACTAGGGCTCATTCATCTCTGAGTTGCTGGTCTCAACTCAGAGCCTGATTCCTCGGAGGGCTCCATCAATGCTGAATGAATCAWTGAACGATGGATGAATGAGTGGGATTCAAACTCCACCTGAGTTTGATTCCTTGTGTCTGACCCAGTACAAGGTGCCAGCCAGCCAGGTGAGTGGGACAGAAACAAATCAATAAATCAACAAGATGAGAATTGCTGACACAGGTTATGTTCTGGGAGGTCATCGTGCCAAGGCAATATAGCAGAGGGGGAAAAAAGTGGGGGTGTCTCATAGTTTGGGTGGTTGGGCAAGGGAGACCTTTCTAAAAGGAATCATGTGAGTTCAAACCTGGAGACTGAAAAGGTGTCAGATGTTGAGGATTTGAGGGATGAGGAGGGAACCCCCAACCCAGGAGCTCTTCAGTCCCACAGGGAGTTTCAAATCGAGACTTCCAGCTGTGCCTAGCCCTGTCTCCTGTGATCTGAATTCCCCATTTATGAGGAGGAATATCTAGCCCACACAAATGGGAAAGGGGTACTTACCTGCAAGCAGARCAACCAGCAAGAGGAATTTCATCTTGAGTAGGAAAGAAGGAAAGACGCTAAAGAGACCAGTGGCCTCCGTTTTTATAGTAAGGGGCCCCACACCCCCAAGATAAGGCTGTTTATTTTGCTCTCAGCCAATTTGGGTTGGCCTTGAGTCTATTAGGGGAACAGCCCTGATGAGTTTGCCTGCAAGGGATGGATGGAAAAAATATTATGAATTTGTGGCTGGCACTTTTTAACTAAAAAAGATGATTTCTGGATTTTTGTAGACCTTGAAACCCTGACTCTCACCCCCCATTCTTTGGCACTCAGCCAGCTCTGTGTGGGAGGGGATCAAAGCCATCTGTCCTGTACAGTGCGACTGGGAAAGGAGGACAAGAAGGAAATGATTATTGCCTCCTGGTCTTGTCAAGTGCCTGGGTCTGTGCAGTGGGTGTCATTGAATAGTTCCAACAATCATGCACTTTGCAGATGAAGCAACTAGTTCTGGGGGGGAGCAGGGGTACTTGCCTAAAGTTATCCAGCTAGCAAATGGCAGAGCAGGGTCTCAAGCTTAGGTCTGTCTGATGCTGAGGCACAAGTCTCACTACCCCCACCCCGCAATGCCAAAACCACTTTTCTTCCCTACTCACCAGTTTGGGTTTCAAAAATCCTGGGCTGTGGAGTTTCAAAGACTTGGGTCTGACTTGTAAAATAGAAGAGAGTTTGGGAACTGTCATATCAAATGTCTACATAAACACCTTTTTGGTGAAATTTATTAACATTAAACCACTTTAGGTGTACAGTTCATTAGAACCTAGAACATTCACAGTGTTGTGGAACTACCACCTCTGTTTAATTTCAGAACATTTTCAGCACCCTGAGGAAACTTTTGTGTGTGTTTGGTACTGGAAATTGAACCCAGAGGTGCTCTACCATTGAGCTAAATCCTCTGCCTTTATTTTTTTTATTTATTTATTTTTTTTTTGCACAAGCCTGTAATCCCAGGAGCTCAGGAGGCTGAGGCAGGAGGATCACAAGTTCAAAGCCGGCATCAGCAATTTATTGAGGCTCTAAGCAAACTAGCAAGACCCTGTCTCAGTGGTTAAGCTTTAAGCTCCCCTGGGTTCAATATCTGCTACTTACCCCCAGTTTTTTTTTTGTTTTGTTTTGTTTTGTTTTGTTGTTGTTATTTGTTTATTTGTTTGTTCTGAGACAGGGTCTGGCTTAGTTGCTCAGGCTGGCCTTGAACTTGGAATCCTTCTGTCTCAGCCTCCTGAACCTCATCCAGCCCAAGAAGAAATCTTGTAGCTGTAGGCAGTGATTCTACCACATCCCTTGACCACTACTAATCTGCTATCTGACTCTACAGATTAACCTATTCTGGATATTTACATACAGATTGAGCATCCTTAATTTGAAATTATGAAATGCGGGGCTGGAGTTGTGGCTCAGTGGCAGAGCACTCACCTAGCATGCATGAGGCACTGAGTTCGATCCTCAGCACCACATGAAAATAAACAAATAAAATAAAGGTACTTGGGCTGGAGATGTGGCTCAGCGGTAGCGCGCTCGCCTGGCATGCGTGCRGCCCGGGTTYGATCCTCAGCACCACATACCAACAAAGATGTTGTGTCCGCCGAGAACTAAAAAAAAATAAATATTAAAAAATTCTCTCTCTCTCTCTCTCTCCACTCTCACTCTCTCTTAAAAAAAAAAAATAAAGGTACTGTGTCCATCTACAACTAAAAATTTTAAAAAAAGAAAGAAAATCTGAAATGCTCTAAAATCCACAACATGAGGCCACAAGTGGAAAATTCCATATCTGACTTCATTTGACAGGTTGCTGTCAAAACATAAGCACTCTTAAAGTATTGTGTAAGGTTACTTTATTGCTATGTGTATGAAGCATACAGAAAACATTGATTAGACTTAGATCTCATCACCAAAATTGTTCATTATGTATATGAAAATATTCCAAAATCCAACAAAATCTGAAATCCAAATCCCAAGCATTTTGCATTTTGTTTTGTTACCAGGGATGGAACCCAGGGACACTAAGCACTTAGCCACATCCCCAGCCCTTTTTTATTTTTAATTTAGAAACAGGGTCTCACTAAGTTACTGATAGCCTCCCTAAGTTGCCCAAGCTGGCCTCAAACTTGTGATCCTCCTGCCTCAGCTTCCTGARCTGCTGGAATCACAGGCATTTGCCATTGCACCCAGCTCCCAARGATTATCCCCCTTTGGATAAGGGATATTGGAACACATAAAAAGGTTATTTTTTATAACTTGCTAGGTTGCTTAGAACCCAGATGAGTTGCTGAGGTTAACTTTGAACTTGTGGTCCCCCTGCCTCAGCCTCCTGAGTTTATTTGTTCCAATATCCCTTATTCATTTGGATATTGGAACACATAAAATATAATATTTATAATTTTTATAATTGATTTATTTGGTGCTTTCTTGTTGAGTATATATATTTAGTTGTAGATAGACACAATAACTTATTTTATTTATTTATTTTTATGTGGTGCTGAGGCTCGAACCCAGTGTCCCACAYGTGCTAGGCAAGTGCTCTACCACTGAGCCACAACCCCAGTCCTCCTATTGGGTTCTTATGTGATGTCTGCAATTACTCTTTGAGGTAGAAAGAGGCCTTGTTGTTTTAATTTATTTAATCTATCATTTACTCTGTTTTTGTTTCGTTGTGTTTTGTTTGCAGTACTAGAGATTGAACCCAGGACCTTGCACATCCTAGGCAAACCCTCTAACCCTGAACTACATCCACAGCTGACCTTGAACTTTCAATTCTTCTACCTCAGCTTCCTGAGAAGCTGAGACTATAGGTATATGCCACTGAACCCAGCCAAATGACATTTTTCTATTCTAGGATAGCCTATTTCAATTTAGCTCTCATGTCTCCTTGGGCTCCCTTGGCTGTGACAATGCCTGAGACTTCCCTTATTAATGACCTTAATAATTCTGAAGAGTATTGGTCAGAGAATTGTAGGTTCTGCCCTATTGGAATTAGTTTGATTTTTTTTTTTCATAATTAGAGTTATGGGTTTGAGGGATCAAGACCATGGAGGTCAAGTGTCTTTTTCAAGTACATGGTAGTGTTTCATCTAATCCTTTATTTTTTTCTGGCATGCATCTTGACYACTTTCCTCATAAGGAAACCGAGGTTTCCCCTGAGGATACATCAGGACCATGGAGACGAAATAGAGCCCAGCAGAGTCACACATACCTATAGTCCTTGCTACTCGGAGTCAACATACTTATAGTCCTTGCTGCTCAGTAGACTGAGGCAGGAGAATTGCTTGAACCTATGAATGACTAGCCTGTATAACACAATGAAACACAGCCTAAAAGTCAAGGTAGGGGGCTGGGGACATAGCTCAGTTGGTAGAGTGCTTGCCTTGCATGCACAAGGCCCTGGGTCCAATCCCTAGCACCACCAAAAAAAAAAAAAAAAAAAAAAAAGTCAAGGTAAAATTCAATAAGAAAACAAAATTTAGTTTCTCAGTCTCTAGCCATGCATGCTTCCTGTGCTCAATGAGCTCATGTGGCTAGTAGCTGTGTAGGAGTAGAATGTTTTCATTATCACAGAAGATTCTACTGCCCAGTGATTACAGATGTTCACAGAATTTGTCMCTGTGCTGACCCAGGGAGACTGGGGTAGTTCAGGACCCCATTTCAGTCCAACTGACTCATTTTGCCTCTTCAGCCCCAGTTTGAGTGATGACTGTGAAGCTGCTGTGGATGGCAAAACATTACATCCCTCTTGTGTGGGTTCTTTGGTGAGAACAAGACAGAAATAGGCATGGCTCCTGGCTTGGGACCTGGATGCTCAGTGGTGATTAGGGGTGATCCCAGAAAGGAGTCGCTACAGGTGCTACAGAGTCTTCTAAGGCTGGTAGTATTAACTACCACTAGCAGAACACTAACCTACCAGGTTGCATAATAGGAACTGGCACAAACCTTTGCTATAGATTGGAAACGGTAGTGCTTGGACTTGAGGTAGCTCCAATGACAAACCCTATCTTACAGAGAAGGCCGTGGAAGCTGAGAGAGGTTATGTGACTGCCCCAAAGTCACATGGCAGAATCAAGATGTGAGTTGGGTTCTGTGTGCATGAAGAGGTCCTCAGGACAGGGACTCCCAGAAGAGGTCCTCAGGACAGGGACTCCCAGAGGTGCCGCCGGAAGTCCTCTGGGTGAATTCTGAGGGGAGGAGAAGGACAGCTACAGCTCTCTTCCATTGGAAGAGGCATGCTAAACTGTAACAGCCCGAACCTCTGTGGCACCTACCACAGGGTAGAAGAATGGACCTGAAAGTCACTGAGTAGAATTCTCCAAGCCTCTGCACTCTCTGTTCCTTTATCTTYTGCTGGCCCAGGTCCATGCACAGGTGTGTAAAGCACAGCCTCTCCCAGCCTGAGAAAAAACAGCTCCCAGTGGAAAGAACAGCTCACGATAGCTTTTTGACTTTCTCAGGTGATAGCATATCCACAGTCCAGCAAGGTCACCTAAGCTGGGGCCCTGGAGGATAAGGTCCCTTCTTCCAGGAAATGCTTTAAAACAGCTACTTGCTTCTATTTGCTGAATGCTTTTATAGGCTTAGCACTGTGAGCACTGCGCTTTACATTGTCTTTCAGCCTAACAATATATCTTCTCACATAATATGATTGCTGTGATTATTGTCATCATTTGACAGATGGGGAAACAGGTTCAGAGAGGTTAAGTCATTTGCTCAAAGTCAGACAGTTAGAAAGTGGTGGAGATAGGATTTGAACCTGTGTCTATCTGCTTCTTAGTCCAGGGCTTTCTTCAATAATAATAACAATAACAGTAGCAGCAGCTAACATAGCTTGAGTGCTATGCCAGGATAGAGCTTTACACAGTTGAGGTTACAATCAAGTGTTCCTATAGATGAATAAACTGAGACGGTACGTCAAAGTATCTAAACCATTTTCAGCACCCAAAGCCACCATTCTCAGCATGTGGATGTTCATGATAGCTTTCTAACTCCTCACAACATCCGTTCCCTAGC